TTTTTTTGTGGTTTGTTTTTTTTTTTTTTTTTTTTTGTTATACAATGTCATATACTGCCATGTTATAGGTTTTAATTTTCTCATAGAAAATTATATTATTGACATCATTTTTTGTAGATTTTTTTTATGTGATCAATTTTTACTTAATGTGATTACTGCTCTATTCCAAAAAGGTTCCTGTTTCACAATACCTCATACTTCAGTTAACCGTGTCTAGACCAGGTTTTAATGTTCGTACACAGTGCCTCATAATTCTACTGCAAACTGAAATGCATCGAACGTTATTCTGAATGGGTCTCGCGATTAGCAACTAGGTTGCATTAATTTAAAAACAGCAGACATTTCAGAAGATCAAGTAATGTCAGTTTTTTTGTTGTTATGCATTTTATAAAGCTGGATTCTTTGTCTGATCTGGGGTTTATTATCATAGTAGTTTTAAGCTGTGTTATTAGCCACATTGATATATGAAAGGTGCATTATAATATAAATCTTGTATGCCAGCTGATGTGGTTTCCCATCAGTTGGGCCACATCATTTGGTATGATAGGTTATCTTCTGGAACTCTAAGTATTTTGTGTGTTTAATCTGTTATGATATACTAGTTTGTTTTGTTTTTTTCTTTGGTAATTATAGCATAATGCTAATTTAAAAAGCCTGTAAATCTCATAAATAAGCCAGCTAACAGAGTTGTATGCTGAAGAATAATCTAGCTGTTGCCTGTATGCTGCTAAACCAAAACAGAATTAGAACTCAAAATTTGAGGGCAAATGCAGTTAAGATCCTACATAGTGCATCAATAAAGCATTGCAATGCTACTAGCAGTCGCAGGACCCAGGAGGACTGGATACATTCTGTCCAAATTTCAGGAACATTTCTTACTGCTTACCTCATAAACACTTCTGTTTGTGGCATCTCTGTGTCTCTGAACCAAACATGATTATTGAGTTAGTGGTTACTGGTTATAATATATGTTACACTGAATGGCAGTGTGTACTGCAAATTTCTTTAAATGTTGTATGTACTAAAAGGCCAAATCCAGATAAGTGGGTTCATGTGCCAACAGAGATGCTTTATTTGTCACATTATTATAACAATCTAGTAAGCAAGCAATTCAGATTTGTACATTTTTATATTGTACTTATTGGCATCACTGGTCTGAAATGCACATTTTCACCAACAGACCTGTAACAGACAAGTTTCCAGCAAAAAAAAAAAAAAACCTAAAGTCTAGAAATAAAATTGGTAAAACCCAATGTCTGCTTGTTGTGTTTTTTTTATTACCTTCATGAATGCTGAATGGTAGTAACTACCTGATGCAATGAGTAAACCACATGATGTTTTTCTAGTGTTGACTGTCCATGCTTTAAGAGTTGCAATGCATCTTTTAGTTAATAGTTGCCATAAATCTTTTAATAGTTATTATAGGAAAATGTAGGTGTTTTTAGCAATGGGTAGGTGACTGCCTGTCATAGTAATGTGTATTTTAAAAAGCAAAATAGACTTTTGCTGAAGATTTCCTTTTAAACATCTAAGGTAATTAATTATTCAGAGCAAAATACCATTTGGTGATTCTTTTCAATAAAGGTAAAATAAAATAGGTGTTTGATGCTACAGAATGCTTGTTTGTATTTATTTATCAGTGTAAGGTTTTGTGTCCTAGAATACCTCCATGGAAAATAGTTTGTTTTAAAAGCAGTAAGGTTAATATGGCTTCTTTTCCTTTCCTCCCCCCTCATATACAGCTGTCACATGTTACTATTACATCACTATGATAACAGAGGAAAACCAAAGTGGAAAAATTTCAGAGCCTACTAAAAGTACGTAAATAACTAGACTTAAGAGGAAAGACATGCAACAGCAGTTATATATTGATTATTTAGAAACTAAAATTAGTTATAAGTTAATCTGTGTCCCAATTCACATTCCAACATAACTATCTGAAAACTGGGGATGCACTTTCTTATTATTACAGAAGGTGGACACAGCAGAAACTACTGCTTAGTCTTCGTGGAGAACAGTCAGGCTTCTGACCTGTGTATTTGACTACTTAGCCTATGAAAATAGGGTGAAAAATACGATTTCATTTATACCTTAAGAAAAACAGTGATATATGTAAAATGTCAGGTATTTTCCTCTCCTGTCTCAAATCAGAAATGTAGTATTTGCCTCCTGAGTTTTCCATTGACTAAACTTCACATTACAATTGATTCTATGCAATAAATACAGCAAAAGAAACAATAATTAAATGTTGTATGTGAATCACAGACTAGAGCAAAATAAACAAGTTGTCTTAATGCAGTTACCGATAGATGGGAAGCCATCGGCATCAGAAAAATCACAGTTGAGCCTGTATTAGCTGGTCAACTTACCAATCATTTCAGCTAGGAAACTGAACCATGTGCCCTACTGTAAAATCACAGCTGTAAGATCAGGTAGGTAAAGTAACTATGTCTGTATCAGTATATAATTTGAGCTGTAATTCTTTCCATTAGAAGGGGGTACCGCCTTAATTCAGTCGAGTCACACTGGTAGACTGTTAAGGCAAGGTCATATAGCATTGAAAGTGAAAAATCTAAGCTAGCACTAGAGTGACTTCAGATACAGGTCAAGCTGTAGCTCCACTTGGCCTAAGTCAGAAAAAAAAAAAAAAACTTATTTTTCACCTAAATTTTTAAGACATTTTTGCCTTAAAACATCAATAGATTTTAAAGAAATGAAAAAAAAATGTTGGCTTGCTTTTGTAGCTTTTGAAGACCAACCCTTCTAATTTTAAATGTTTGAAAAGTGAGTGAAAGCATAGTCATAAAATCTTGCTTTTGGACAAAAAGCTTTTTTATGAAAATGAATGATTCAATGAGAAACTTACCGACAATATGTTGAACGTGTTAAGTGTTGTTTTGGGTTTTTTTTTTTTTTTTGCCTTTTCTATCCTTCCTGTAAACTCTATTCAACTGATTGATAGAAGTATTTGTTGTCTTACTTAAGTAGCTCTAAGTCTACATAACCATCACTGTTATTTATGGTTTTCTTCGCTCTTAAACATCATCTCTGAACGCCTCTTACTAAGTCTGGATGTTAGCTAACTATGCCAGTATTAGTCACATGGCAAAGGGCAGGAAGACAAGAATGTAGTTAGAAAAACAATTTACTACTATAGATTTAAAAAAAAAAAAACCCACACATTCAGCTAGGCTATGCTCTAACTTATTCAAAGGAAAAATATCTATTATCTTCTTACCTCAGATTGAGAAGTACGCACAGACTCCTCCCCGCCAAAGACTTCCCTTTCATTGCTGAATGTAGCCTGAGTGACAAGCTTGTACCTTTCATAAATACTTAAATTCATACACTCTTTAATAAACAGTAAGTAACAATTAACAGGGTCTGTTAAATGTAAAAACTTGAAATCCACTTGTGGTCAAACATACCTGGCACCTGAAGTGAAGGAAAAACTGCAGAAGATAGGGGGAAGAATGAAGCTTGGACCTATATGTCAAGTAAGTCATAGGAATGACCCAGGAATGTGGGCTAGATACTCTGATGAAGACCCCTGGCAACATCACTGAAAAGCTACAATGGGACAAAGGCAGTAAAGCTGTAAATGATGGCATTGTAATGACTTTCTGCCAACATTATTTTATGGGAAATGCATCTTTTCTGCCAAAAACAGTATTTTTATGATGCCACATATAAAATTGACAATGTTAATTGTAGTGGCATGGCAAACCAAGACATTTGACCCAGCTCCGTACGCTATTCTGATCCAGTGATGAGAAACTGACTGCAAATTTGCCACCTGAATCACATCTATAGTGTGAGACTTGACAGGCCTCTGACTCTGACCGTTTGGGCTGAGAAGTACAATTTCAGCAGCAAGACAGAAGTTACCCTTTTAGTTTATTGTGACTTGAAAACAAAAGTAGTTTCTTGACAATCCCATTAAGTATCGGCAAAGCCAGATTTACAGCTGTCCCACTGTTTGCCTGTGTGAGGCCCATGCATTAGAAAGTCCCATATTTTATGGAAATCACAAAGTATTCCCAGCCATAATTTTCCTGAGTACTCTTTACCTAAGCAGGGAACAAGCTACTGCCAGAAAGCCTGTGCGTGCTCACCATGTGCCGGGAACAGGGCGCAAGCCGCGTCTGTACTCTGCACAGGCCCAGCGGATGCAGAAGTATCACCCACAGTATGCGGACAACAGCTCTGCTCCTGCAACACCGGCAGTACAGGGCAGCTTCTCCTCCTACTGACCTCCTGTATATAAAAGCTGTTTTCAATAGGGTGACAGAACAGCCCCAAGTCTTTTGGAAGCAGTCACTACCACGCACAGATTAACATGGCAACATCTCTACTTTTCTGAAATCTCCTCTGTGGACACAGGATGCCATGTTTAGTGGCTGCTCCTGGGTCTTCCCTCTTACCCAGCAGGAAAAAAAAATCCATCAGTGTGGATTTTGGCACTCTTCTCTTTTTACTTATGGCTTCTACTACCTTTTTATTTACCACCGTATCCTTGACAAAATATAGCAATAAGCCCTTAATTCAGATAAAAACACATGTAGTGATCCATCTCAAAACCAAACACCAGTCTGTACATTCACCTCAAGACTGCAATAAAAAATGATATTCCCATCATGTTCACAGTATATGCTAATGGGCAATCACAGGACAGTTTTCCTTACTTCCCTACTGTCCTGGGGTGAAGCCTACCCGAAAGTACTGCCCAGACAAATGAGACTGTGACTACATCTGTTCAGCTCTGGCTGAACAAGCTGAAAAGCTGAGTAAGCCGGAAAACAAAGCAGCAAGAGATGAACTTTGTTAGGC